ACACCCCCTTTTAACAACCTGCTTTTAATCTCACCCAATGGTGTCTTCAGCTCATTGACATCCGTCACTAGATTCAGATTCTCCTCTATCAGGATGGCGTTTGCCCCGTGATTGGGCATAGGCTGTTATACTATATTTGGACCCGCCTGTCCAAAGTTAATAGCTTTGCTATCCAATAAATCCTGAACTTTATGTTTAAATGCTTGACAAGCTTCTATATCATGCCCGGGTGCCCCGGAATGGAATTCACAATGCTTGTTGGCATCATATCTGTAAGGAAGTACTGCCCCCGTAGGCGGTGCCAAAGTCCTCTTTTCAACCAAGTTCAACCCTAGCAGAGTCTGGAGGAGTTCTGCATACGTGGAAGGAGGTGCGTCGAACACTCTTTTCGCTCTCGCGTTCTGTACCCTTCTCTGGCCAGGATTCTGTCCTTGTTGTTGTTGTGGTTGTTGTTGTTGTGGCTGCCTCTGCTGAGGAAGCGGGATAGTGAAGCTAGCTATCTGTTGCGGCTGAACATACTGATTTCTTCCTTTGCCCCTGCCCCTGCCACCAAACACGGCACTAGAATCACCCTGTCGTCTACCACCAAATGCTTTTCTGGCACCTCCTGTTGAAGTAGACTCACTTGCTTGAAACCTTCCAACTTTAATCTCGTTCTCGATCATCTCCCCCATAAGAATCAAATCTGAGAAACTGCTCAATGACACACTAAACAATTTTTCATAGAACACCCCCGTAAATGTCCCAATGAACATATCATTCATCTCCCTTTCAATTAAAGGAGGATGCACCCTCGCTGCCATATCGCGCCACCTTTGCGCATACTCTTTAAAGCTTTCACCGTTCTTCTGTGACAAACCCTGCAATTGGACCCGGTTTGGCACCAGATCGCTGTTGTATTTGTAATGTGTCACGAAAGCATCAGCCAATTACTTCTAGGTCTTAATCTGCGTGGGCTCCAACCCCATATACCATTCAAGTGAAGGTCCTGATAAGTTGTCCTGAAAGAAATGCATGAGCAACCTTTCGTCATCTGAATACGCGGACATCCTTCTGTAATAAGAGCGGACATGGACTTTAGGGCAGGTGTCCCCCTTGTACTTGTCAAAAGTGTGAGCCTTGAATTTCAACGGCACCCTCAGCCCAGGTATCAAGCCCATCGTAGTCATATCCAAACCGGTGGAGTTCTGATTCACTACCCCCTTCATCTGTTCTTCAAGCATTCTGATCCTTTGCACAGGATCAACAGGTCCTTCAAATCCCATGCCTCTTCCAGAAAAGGCGTCCTCCTGGCGGTCTTCACCCCAATTCACATTTTCATTTCCATATCCGTCGTAACCAGTGTTGCGACCAAACCCTTGCTGATTGATCATGGGACCTCGTCCCCCGTTACCAAAACCCTGGTTGACCCTAACAGGTCCAAACCCAGTGTTCACAGGAATCACCCCAACACCATTCATATTACCAAATCCACCATACCCCTGGTTAGCATTACCAAAACCATCATAACCGAAACCCTGAGCGTTGAAGCCGAATTTCCCGTCCTGATTGACGTAATCAAATCCCTGATCATTGTAGCCGAAACCAATGTTGCCAAAACCATTACCACCATTGTTGTTACCACCGCCTTGGTTGGCGTCCCCAAATCCAACATTGTTAACAACAGTCTCATTTCCATTCCCTGTGTTACCATTGCCAGCGCCAGCGCCATTGTTTACAATCACAACAGGTGGGGTCACCACAGGCGTAGGGGGGACATCCTCCGGAATAGTCTCAACGTGCGCAGAATTGTGGTCATTGTTGCCATTCCCATTAGCCCGCGTCAGCAGCGGCTGTACCAAAGTCTGGAGGCTCTCCTGGCCCTTAGCAATGTTCTCCATTGCTTGCATGAACAGGTTCAACTTCTCGTGGATTTCCTGCATCTCCACTTAGACTTGATCCATGATTCTCTTGCAGTTGTTTCGGGTTGAGTAGCGGTGGACTCTTTGTTCGTCAATCCTGAAAAACCTGAAGATGCAGGAAATAAGATACAGATTCAAGAATACCGGTCATGCAATATGAATGCGGATGCAAATGTGCAAATATGCTACAGGTTATATCCCCTCCCCCCCCGATTCTAGTTTCGGAGAGAAGACCATCACGAAAATGGAGTCCCCATCAAGCAAGCAAGGAATCAGAAAACCCTCATATATAAGCAAGTGCCAAGAGGCTGAGTACAAGAGTACAACTGAAAACAACTGAAGAGACCTCGGCCAACAAGCCTGGCGATGGTCAAAATGCAAGTACAGATAGCAAAAGCAAGGCAAAGATAAATCAGGCCAAATGGCGTGCTCTGACATCTTCCAATATCCTCAACGTCTCCGAATGCCCTAGTCGAGAGATCAGCTCCTGTATCAGTAAGGCATGCCGCTCAGTAGTGGATCTCAGCTTTTTGGCGTCGTCCTGGTAGGTTCCTTCGCCAGAACTCTCATCAAGTCTGCACCTCTTGGGACCGGCCTTCACTTCATAACCTCTCGGCTTCTCGTCAAGGTTACTTACTCTAAGCTCAACAGCGCTCCTAAGTGATGTCTCTTCGGCAATCTTTACGTCTTGGGCTCTAATCTGCGCCTCTAGCGTGGCAATCTGCAGCTTCAGTTCGTCTTCACGCTCCTTCCGCTTGGTAAGCGTGGCATTCCACAATGCTTCCCACTTGTTGAGACGGGAATAAGCTTTGCTTAAAAGTCCCTTCTTGGAAGTAAGCACATTGCTAACACCGTTCAAGGCTATTCCCACTTTTTCTTTCTTGTTGGTCTCTTCCGTCAGCTCTGAACCCAACCTATTAATCAATTCAGTTTGTTCCCTCACAGTGAAGGTAGCTTCATTCTTCTCATGCCGCAACTGGAAGATCTCTTTCTCTAACTCATTATTGGCTTTCTTCAATTCTTCGTTTTCAGCCAACAATTTGTTATACTTCTCACTCTCTTCTGAAGTAGGTACCTCAATCAATGGAAGATACAGGGGTTTCGCAGCAGGATAAGGCATCAAGGACATACTAGCTCTCTCGCGGATCCAAGCCAAATAAGGATCATAAGCTTTGCTGTTGCTCTTACCGAGCAAAGCTTTCCCTCTCCTATCGATGTTAGCCCATGCATGTCTTAATCTGATCAAAACAGCCGCGTCTAATAAGCCTGTGAGATACAGAGATTCCTGTATCTCCTTCTCAATAGGAGCGTCCCTCAAAGCATAACCAAACTGTCTTACTAGCAGTGAAGGATTATAGTTAATACAGCCTTTCCGTCCAATCAGGGGGACATTTGGAAAGCCACTGCAACTATATATAATATCTGTACCAAGCATGCTCCGATCAAACCAAATGATGTTCTCAGCAGACAACCCCATCAACCGGGAAGACCAATCCAAAGTATCAACAGCATCAACAAAAGGTCCTGTCTTCGGAAGATGCCCCTGGAACCACCTGTACAAGAGAGGAAGACAGCAGGAGACATTCTTGCCACGACGTTTCTCGTTCTTGTAGTGAATAGAATGATAAACATCGCCCAAGAGAGTAGGAACTGGATTCTTCGAGGCAAGGATCAGGAAGGCATCTGAGTCGACAAAATCTGGCACATTAGGAAACAAGACAATCCCGTAGATGCAGATAGCTAGAATGGCACTGAAGGCAACCCAACATCCATTCTTCGCGCACTGTGTAGCCTTCTCAACCAGGACAGACAGGTGAAAACCATAAGCTCCGTTCAGCTTGACCAACCCTCCGGGGAACTCAGAAGCGTCTAAACTGACAATCTCAGCAAGTGTAGCTAACTCAGGCTCAACATCAACATGTATAAAGGTCATCTGGTCTAACACTGGAACTCCCAACATAGCAGAATACTCCTCTAAAGTGGGTGCCAGAATATAGTCGTGAAATAAGAAACATCTCAACTGCAGCTCATAAAACTGCATCAAAGTATACACCCCAGTCGTCTCAAATGCAGAAGGTCTGTACAACAAACTAAGCAATCTCCCATAAGATACTCGGAACTCAGTGTCATACCCCAAATTTGTCCTACCTTTTTTCAAAATTCTCATTTGCTCGACTTTGCTTTTAATTTACCTCGCTTATACAGCGTAGCGTATTTTTCAGCAAAAACGGGCATTTTCGCTTTTTTAGCCCAATAAGGGTATGCCACGTGGCATTTGTTTTTTTATATATATACCTATTTTTTTATATATAATTTCATTTTTCTCGTGATAGGTTAATATAATGTTTTCATTTTTTTTAATTAGTTTTGGATTAGAAATTAGGATTTAAATTTAATTTTTTTTAATTAAATAGATTTAATTTAGAGCTTAATTATAATTTAGAAATTTTTAATTTTAAAAAATATAGAAAAAAATAGAGTTAGAATTTAATTAGGATTTATTTTAAAAATTTTATTAGAGTTTAATTAATTAGTTTAGATTTAAATTTTAATTAATAGTTAGAATTAATTAAATAGGAAATAAGTTTTTAATTTAGTTTATTATTCAGAAAAATAAATTAAAAGAAAATATTAAAAAAAAGAGAAAAAAATTTGAATGAGAAGGCACGGTGGATTAGGGTTGGGCTTCTGGGGATAAATAGGACTACTGCTCACCATACCCTAGGAGTGAAGGGACACTGTTCACAAAACCCTAAAAAATAACGGCTGCCCCTAACTTTGAAGGGCAACCCTAAAAAAAAACCCATCCCCAAATCGGCGCCGCTCACCCTCGTCATTCCCACCGTCCTCACTCTCTACCTCACGCGAAACCCCCTCCTTTTTTCCTCTTCTCCTTCCTCAAGATCCGGCCACCACCGTTCAACCCTCCGTCTTCATCATTATCACGAAAACCCTTCTTTTTCCTCTCTCCACCGCCACTCCCTTCTTCCCACTTGCTCCAAACAAATTAAAAAAAATACTCTTTTTTGCTTTCTGAGATACCCTTTGATTATTTCCTCAATTTTCCATTCAAGAATCTCAGTTATCTCAGTTACTAGCATGGTTTCATTGGGAGGTGTATATAGTGTTGCTTATGTGTTCTTGTTTGGTCTGACTTTGGTTTTGGCTGGTGATATAGTTCATCATGATGATGTTGCTCCAACAAGGCCTGGCTGTGAGAACAACTTTGTTCTGGTCAAAGTTCCAACTTGGATCGATGGTGTGGAAAACGATGAGTATGTTGGTGTCGGTGCAAGATTTGGTCCTACATTAGAATCAAAAGAAAAACATGCCACTCATACCAGAGTTGTCATGGCTGATCCTCCCGATTGTTGTAGCAAGCCTAAGAATAAGCTCACCAGTGAGATCATATTGGTGCACTGAGGAAAATGTAGCTTCACAACCAAGGCAAATATAGCTGATGAAGCCGGTGCTTCGGCCATTCTCATTATAAACAATCGTACAGAACTTTTCAAGATGGTTTGTGAGGTAAATGAAACTGATGTTGATATTGGAATTCCTGCTGTTATGCTTCCACAAGATGCTGGATTAAACTTGGAAAAACACATACAGAATAAATCCATAGTTGCCATACAGTTATACTCTCCACTGCGTCCGTTGGTTGATGTTGCGGAAGTGTTTCTATGGCTCATGGTTGTCGGTACCATTTTATGTGCTTCTTATTGGTCTGCTTGGACGGCAAGAGAAGCTGTTATTGAGCAAGACAAGCTTTTAAAGGATGCCTCAGAAGAATATGTTGCAGAAAGTGTTGGTTCTCGTGGTTACGTGGAAATCAATACTACAGCAGCGATTTTATTCGTCGTGGTTGCTTCTTGTTTCTTGGTTATGCTGTACAAATTAATGTCATTCTGGTTTTTTAAAGTTCTAGTGGTTTTATTTTGCATTGGTGGGATAGAGGGTCTGCAAACTTGTTTGGTGGCTCTATTGTCATGTTTCAGATGGTTTCAACATCCTGCACAAACATATGTGAAGATACCGTTCTTTGGAGCTGTTCCATATCTGACACTTGCTATTACTCCCTTCTGCATAGTGTTTGCGGTTGTTTGGGCATTTAAACGCCATGCGTCATATGCGTGGATTGGTCAAGATATTCTTGGCATCAGTTGTGAGTTTAAGGCTTATCCTGGTCTTGCCCACTCCATAAACAACGAGGAGCTGCGGGATCTCGAATCTTAGATCAAGGCACGCCTACAAAGTTCTTCTTAATTTTCAACCAGTATCTCTTACATTGTAACTCAATAATTTTAATACATGCTTGTGCTTAAAATGTTGTGTTTTGTCCGAATCAACATCTTTTAGAACTAGAAAGGATTGCTGTTGAATTCTCATCTTCTAATACAACCCTGTTTGTTTGATTTTGAACTCCAAAAAATGTTTTCCTAGTCTGTTTGTGTGTGTTTCCATTCAATACAGGTTTATGTGTTGCGGAAGCGATTGTAAAGCCGAGCTAGTCCTGACTGCACTATCATCTCGTCGGATGGCCGTATGCTTGCAACTGGAAGCACGAGTATTCAAGAGTTGAGTCGAATACAAAGTTGCACAAGTTCAACAACTCTTCAACTCAACAACTCCGGCAACGACTCCGTAAGCTATTAAGATCATCCAAACAGATAGCCCGTATGCTCCTATTGCCGTTGCTGCTTTTTGAGGTCAATTTGGATCGATTGCGTGTCGGTAATTCTCGAACTACTATGTTTTTTAGGCTAACTCTGCTTTGTTATGCAAATGGCACAGAGGTGATTGCCGGTGCATTTATGTTCACATCCATATTTGGTTTGAGTTTGATTTCAATCATGTTATGGAAACTTCACATAGGGATGTTGTTGCTCTAATTTTGTTGCTGGTTCTAAAAACTCACAAATTCCATGTTTATATCCTTCCATGTTTATATCCTGTGAGTAATAAATTGTTGTGCTGTGATATTGAGTTATGGTTCTATTAGGACATGAAGTCAGCCGCACATGATTAAGAACGACCAGTTTGGTTTCTGTTTCTGCATGATGGTTTCTATAGCGTAGCATTTTCGAGTTATTTGTTATATAGCGACTGATATCATATTTCATAAATGTTGTTTTTTTTGTTGCACTAACTCTTGGCAGTGTGCATATGCGGATATCATTAAGGTTATGTATATGCGACTCGTGATAGTGCTTACGGCATTACGCAAAACAAATAAATTATGGATTATGCTATGCATCTGTGGGTAAAGTTATGTGGCTATCCTACCGCCGTGATTAATTTGTCAATACTGGTCCGAAGTTGGGTATTTTTTTCATGTCATATTTTGTGTGTATGGTTTCAATTAATTGCTGGCGGCACCACAAACACCAGAGCCGTTTTCTTTTCTGTTTTTCTTTGATGTATGCAGGTTATAGATTCGAGATCCGGAAGTTAAAACCGACTCGGTTCATGTCAACAACATCACAACAACAACATTGTTTCATTCTCAAACAGACACAGCAACAACCTTCAATGTCGCGCTTCGGTTTTGTTGACGATAGACCACGTCATGCAACAGCTTTCTTACCAAACAATTGAAAATTATCTTAGGTCCGACAGTGCAACGTCGGCAATGCAGTTCTTCCAGGACGTGGAATCCAATCCGTTTTCGACGCCTCATTGTGTTTTTCATTTCAATCACAATAACATGTAACCAAAGGCTCACCTCGCGGTTCAGCTTCGACTTGAGTAGCAACCGACACAGCCGCTCAAATTCACAGCATCAATCCGACATTTCAAGTGATACACGAGGAAACCGACCTTGCTACAAAATCAGCATCAACCATCGAGGTTCAAGTATCGTTTCGAGCCATTTCTTTTTTATTTCATCTTAACTGCCTGTTATGTCAATTGTTGATTTGTCTGTGGATTTAGATTAGTGTATATGTTGTTGGTTTTTGGCTGTGACCTTGTTCAATTGAGTGCACTACTCGGTGAATGAGTAACCTTTGGATTAAGTACATGAAGTATGCTGGGTTTTATTTATAGCTGATGTTGGTGAATTAATATAACAGTAAATTTTGTGCAAGATTTATATTTGTTTGTTTTGGAGGTAGTTTGCCCTGTATTTGCAGCAATACAACTCCATACGCATCAACGAGTCCGGCCAACGAATTCACGTCTTCTCAACAACAACTTTGACACTGCAACCATATCAGTGTCGATACATGTACCGCAGCAGCCTCATCTTCAACAATCTTGTGGCAGCTCTCACTCTGGTTATACGGCGTCGGTAAATCCTTGAATCCTTTCTCTTTGGTTCAATTGTATATCAGCACTCGATTGGGCTTGTTTGCTACTGGAGATTCGATGTATTTATCTTTGTTTTCAAGGCATTGTGTGGTTGTTTTTGTTCTAAAATTTTGTCGAATATCTGACGTGACGTCGTTAATATTCAAGCTGATTGTGAATTAATAATGTTAGTTCTGAGTTGGTAAACTGGCTGCTGTTTTTAATTAATAATCTTAGTTCTAATTTAGTAAATTAGCTCTTGTTATGAATTAATAAATAGTTTTAGTTTTTTTAGTTAGTAAATTCTATACTGTTATAAATTAGTGATTTTGGGTCATGGTAAGTGATTTAAGTATAATAAACTATTTCAATAAGTTATTCAAACCTTTAGTTTTATTTCAAATTCAATTAAATATTTTTCAATGCGATTAATCAAAACATTTTCTTAATTAAATAACGAAAGTAGTGGGTTCTTAGGGTCTAGCATCCTTTGAGTCTTTGAACAACCGCTCTCGAGGCGCACGCCCTCGAGTTGTGGTTGTTTCGTCTTTCGGTTTTCAAATCGTTTTTTTTCTCAATTAAAACTTCTAAAAAGATATTTTTAAACATTCTATAAATATTTTTATAAAAATATATACTTCAAAATTATTACTAAATAGATTTTTTAAATATTAAACTTTAAAGAAAATACACTTTATTAATAAAGTTAAAATATTAAACTTTTCTCAAATCAAAACTTTTTACAATTGATTAATTTATTTTATACATGAAAGTTACAACTATTTTTTAACCAAATTAAACTATCTTCCTAAAACAAATTTCAAAATAATTAAATTCTTGGATCTCGCCTTCCTTGAATTTTTTAAGCGACCGCTCTCGAGGTGCACACCTCGAGTTGTGACCCTTTCGATCTTATTTTCTAGAGTATATGGCACGCCTAGTCCGAGTACTCTAATATTTTCAAATTATTTTCATAATTAAATCACGAAATAATCGAGTTCCTGGAGTCGCGCATTCCTCGAATTCGCGAGTGACTACTATTGAGGCGTACGCCTTGTATGATGTGCCATTCAAACTTTCGTTCTTAAAATACCTCCTCTAATTATTCGAATAAGTATTCACTGTCCAACAAATATGTTTCATAATTAATGGAATGAAAAAGATGTCGTTAGGATCTAGCACCTCAACGATATCCCGATTACGTGGTTACGAGGCCGACGTCTCGCTTATCGAGTATTCGTCATTCCTCCTAACATACAACACATCTAACCTCGTTCCTCACCCACGTGCAATCGAGTCTAAACCCTAGTACACATCTAAACCGTATATCAAATTCAAATTTTTTCTTAATCAAATTACGAAAGAACTGAGTTCTTGAAGTCTCGCACTCCTTGAATTCTTGAATGACAACTATTGAGGCGTACGCCTTAGGTAGCGTGTCATTCGAACTTTCGTTCCTAAAACACGCGCCCTAACTATTTGGACAAATACCGCCATTGTCCATTCAAATACACTTTCCTAATTAATTGAATGAAAAAGGTATCATTGGGATCTAGCATTCCAATGATATCCCGATTAATCGATTGTGAGACTGACGTCTCATTTATCGAGTAGTCGTCATTCTCTCCTAAATATTCAACCCAACTCCTCTTTCTCGCCCCGTGCAATCGAAACCTTAAACCTATTAAAATCTATCCTCCTTTCCCTAACCAAAACATCCAATACGATAAACCTAATTCCTCGCCCTCGTGCGATCTCCAGCTTAAATACCTTTTACCAAGAACATTGTTTAGACCTTTCTTCCGCGCATAACAAACTAGTGCTTCAGCCTCCCCTAGCGAGCAGACAAGCCAATGTTTAGCAGTTAGAATGCGACCTAAACTCTCGTTCAACTCAATACACTTTTTGCCAAGAACATTGTTTATTCCTTTCTTCCGCGCATAACAAACTCGTGCTTCAGCCTCCCATAGCGAGCAGACAAGCCAACGTTTAGCAGTTAGAATGCGACCTAAACTCTCGTTCATTCCAAACATAAACCTTTTACCCGTAGTTAGCTGAACTACGGCTGCTCTGATTCTTCATTCCCTCTTGAATGTAAGATACGTAGGCACAAGATTGCGATGATCTTGGCG